TGGGAAATGCTCCATGCCCGGCTCCCTGCAGGAATGGGGGGCAATTAACACTTCTCAATACTCTTTGGGGGAATGTGCTGCTCATAGAACCTCTCACCCAGGGTCCACCTGTGATTCCCCTGCTCCCAGCTACTCCGTGTGGCAGCAAGGGCCAAGATCCCTGTCTCTCACCTCCATGACGAACTGCCCTGCGTAAGTTCCGGTCATCGTGGAGCTCTGTCCTGCTGCCAGGATCCCAATGGCCCAGATGTACAATGCCACTGCCCCGAAATAGCAGCCCAGGATGACACCCTATGTGGGGACACTCCAGTGGGCACCCCAAAGTGTCCCCCACTCCAGGCATCCCCATCAGCTCCCAGCTTTTCAGTGGGATTGCAATAGCCCCCAGCCCCAGGAGTCGGTGGGGGGAGTGATGTGTCCCCCGAATGGGAATGGATGCTCACTGGGCACAGCCTGGTGCCACTCACCCCCTGGTAGATATCCACAGAGACTGTCTCGTTGTTGGCGGGGAAAATATCGGCATAGTGGCTGATGCTGCTGTTGACGCACTTGTTGTGCTGCAAGGCATGGCAGGCACAAGAGTGACAGCCACCCAGTGGCCCCACAGACACGGGGGGAGCCCCACACCCTGTGTCTCAGAGAATACCCATTCTCCAAGGGATGATTGCCCTGCCCATCTCCACAGCTGGGCACAGCTGTCACCTCCCTGTGGGCACAAGGTGACACTCACCACGTCCTCGTTTCGCTGGCGGTAGAAAGCCTCGCCGAAGACAGCCATGACAAAGAGGTTGATGAGGAAGGAGACGAAGAGGGCCAGACAGGACTCAGTCAGGAAATACATGTTGGCCTCCTGCACTGCCTGCTTCTTGGACCGGTCGATTGCCCGTGTCTGGGCATGGCAGTGACATGGGTGTCACAGGGTCAGTGGAGCGGCCCTGTTGTGCAGCCAGGACCAGCTGGTCCCCACCAAGTGTCCCCCCACCGCGGGGGCAGTGCCCATGGCAGTATCTTGGTCTCACCTTGACCAAGGAGGAGTGGAGGAAGATGTTATGGGGCATAATGATGGCGCCAACAATGCCCACGGCCTGCAGCAGCTCCTCTCGCCCACAGCCCGGGCAGTAAGGCAGGAAAATGCCCTTCAGCACCTTCACCTGCACTGGCCTCACCACCACGTACTGGGGGTCAGTGGGAAGAGGCACTGTGAGCTGTCACCCTCCTGCTGCAGGCTGGTACCAGTGGGGACACCCCACATGGGGGTCCCTTACCAGTACCCTGAAGGAAAAGGGTTGTCCCCAGCTCCCCCCTTCACCTCGTAGCCAAAGGTCAGGGCCATGATGGTGATGAGGAGGCCAAAGAAAGCCTCCAGTTTGCGGAGCCCTAGAGGGGTCAAGAGATGGGGTGGGACGGAGCAGGGGACACTGGTGTCACATTGGCACGAGGGCTGCCCGGGTTAGCGTAACCCCATCCACCCCACCCTGGCACTCACCGTACTTATCAAGGAAGAGGAAGAAGAGGGTGTCTACAATGGTGATGAGGACCCCACCCCAGAGGGGAATGCTGCAGGATGGCAAGGGGGGATTAGATACATGCCCCTCTGTGGAGTGGGGCCATGGAGGAGGCTAGGGGATCCCCATGGGGAGGCTCACCGGCCAGCTGAGAGCAGGCTGAAAGCAATGGCTGTCCCGATCACCTCCTGCATGTCAGAGCCGATGATGGCGATCTCCATCATGAGCCAGAGCAGCACACGGGGCACCTGGAAGGGTCAGGGCACCATGAGGTGTCTGAGCCCACAGTGTGGCTTGGCCCTGGGTGAGCTGGCACAGCATCCTGGGTGGAAATCCCTGTCCCCAGGCTGTGGCAGGCCACCCAGAACGGCATGGGAACCCCAGGAGATGCCTCTTAGTTTCTCACACAACAATCTCAGGGTGAAAGATGAATGCTAAATCTCAGCCTGCACCCCCATCCCCATCCCTGCCCCAGTGGGAGTTGAGGATAGGACCCAGCTGTCTGGAGATGATGCTTCGAGAGGGGAGGGGGGGGCGGGGCAGAGGGATGCATCCTTCTTTTGTGGGCCTGTCATTCAGCCAACATCTCCTCGTTCGTTCCACCCACCACCAGGATCCTGCCGCCTAAAAGGGACCCTGAGCTCCTCCCCTCCTTCGCCATGTGATCCCTCCCCTCGAGCCCCCCCGGTTTCCTGCCCCAACTCGCCCAGGCTCGAACCGTGTCTGGGCACCGCGTCGCTGCCCTGACGCTTGGGCTCACCCCCCCGCGGGGGACGCTCTCATATGTCCCCAGGTCGGACCAGGACACCGAGGTAGCTCCCCCCCCGGGGCTCCTGTACCGCAGGGGTGGGGCTTGGGGGGCACCGGGGAGCCCCTGGGAGAGGCAGGGCTCTCGCAGCATCTTCCTGCTCCTCTCCAGCCCCCCAAGTCCCTGTTAGGACTGTCACCAGCCCAAGCGCAAGGTCCCTTCAGACTGTGATCCCAGGGGGCTCCCTGTGGCTGCTCACCTTGGGGTAATAGAGGTAGCAAATCTCGCCCAGGTCCTTCCCAGTCACCACGCCCAGCCGGATGGCCAGGCGCTGGCACAGCAGCCCCAGGACAGTGGCCCACAGCAGCACCCACAGCAGCTGGGAGGGTAGGAAGGAGGGAGGGAGGCAACAGGGACTGGGTACCGGCCAGGATTTGGCCGCCCGAGGGTCCATAGCTCAACCAGCCCAGGGAATGCAGGGAAGAGAGGGGGTGGAGGTGATCTCCCAGCCCAGTCAGAGGGGTGCTCCTCTGACACCCCTGGGTGCCCTCCCACAGTGCCAAGGGCCCCCCATGTGCTTCCCACTCCCGGGCTGGGGAAGCCAGCAGCCGTGGTGCTGGACGGCCGTTGGCACGGGAGAGGTTACGAAACCCCCACCTACTTCCTGATCCCAAAGTCGGGGGGCCCAGGGCTCACCTTGAACCCCGCCACTGCTCCGCACTGCAGGTCCGACTCCACGTTGCCCGGGTCCAGGTAGGCGATGCTCATGAGGAAGCCGGGACCGGTGAAAGCCCAGAGTTTCTTAAAGCTGAACCCCGACTGGGACAAGGCAGCAAGTCAGAGCCAGGAGCTCCTCTTCAAGCCCAGTGTCTCCCAGTTGCACATCCAGTCCCCTTTAACCCAGTGCTGCCCACACGCGTGCATTTGGCACATGGAGAACATTTCTCCGGCAGTTTGGAGCGGGGGGAAGTGCTGCCCCCAGTCTCTCTCTGTTAGCAGTAGTGCTGGAGGGGCAGTGAGCCCCTCCATCCCACCTGGGGACAGGTTGGACAGTGATTTGCAGGGGGGTTGCAGGGTTGTCAGACACTGTTAATTACATCCCGTGGGATCCCACTGCAAAGCTCTGCTTTCACTACCCCTCCTGATAGGGGAACCCTATTCCTTCCCCCTTCTCTGTTCCACCACCCCAGGATGGGGATGGGAGGATTGGTGGGGTGCAGTCAGCCTGGAGAGCCCCACTGGGCTCACCCACGGGTGGCCCAGGAGGTGTGTGAGCAGGGGTGATTCCTATGGCTGGATAGCTCCTCACCCCATGCCTCAGTTTCTCCATCTGGAAAAACAGGTCTGGAAACACTCAGACTTGCCTGAGCCGGGTCTGGGGATGCTGAGTGCATGTTCTCAGGGCTTTTCCAAGATACATCTCCCCTGCTGTGGTGGCCCTTTGCCTTCCCATCTCCAGCTCCCTGCAGCACAGGACCCTGCCCCATCTTCCCACCCTCAGACAGAGGTGCCAGCCTGGCAGCACCTACCCCACTGCCCTTGGGGATGCTGATGAGCTCATCCAGGTAGGTCTGGTCCTGAGTGCCAGGGTGCTTCCCGCCAGTGCTGTAACTCTGCGCTTGGCCGTGGTTCAGGGACCCAGTGAGGCCTGGTGGGGCAAGGAAAAGGAGGAGGGGAGGTGGCAGCCTGCCAGGGGGACAAGGACACTGGTGTACTGGCAGCTCTGGCACTAGCTTTCTCCAGACCCTACTTGGTGAGTCCTGTGAGGTACAAGCACCATTTTTCCAAGGGGGCCATGACGGTGGCTATATGGGATCTGTCAGTGGCTACCCAAAGGGGTCAGATGCCACCTCTAGCTCAGATGTCCCTAAAATGCTTGCTCCCAGACCAGTCTTCATCAGTCCAAGAACCAAGTGTGTTTCTGGGCAGGAGGGCATCCTGCTCAGGGTCCTGCTGCTGGGTGGGCATGGAGTGGGGACAAGAGGCTTGTACTGGTCCTAATCCTCCCTCCCCAGCCCACCCACATCCTGGGAATGTGGTTGAATCACAGGTGGACTTGGGGGAACAGAGGATGAGGCAGAGGGGGAATCCAGGACAGGCTTGGGGGGACAGTTCCCACTGGGGGATGGAGAGGAACCAGGGGTACCAGGGTGGAGGGAAGGGGGTCTAGGGAGGAAAGGACACACAAGGGGACCCAAGTGTTGTGAGGCTCACCTGGTTCCAGCGATGCCATAGCTGGGGGTGATCCAGAGGTGCTGCTGGGGCACTCTGATCCTAACACTGGGTGCAATGCCTGCTGCCCAGCTTTTAAAGGACTCTCCCCACTGCCCCCCCGAGGAGGAGAGGAGGAGGATAGGAGAAGGAAGTGTTCCTTCCCTACCCGCTGACCTGGGTAGGGAAAGGGCCCCTGGCTGTTGGGGGCTGGGTGCTATGAATGTGCACACTCTCGGTTCCCACCCTGTGCCAGGAGGCCCCTTTGCTCCTCTTTGCCACACACACACACACGTGCACGCACGAGGCACCCACACCAGGAGTGTGGGAGCATTGTCTGTGTGTCACCCTCCATCACATGCCAGGACTCCTGCTCCTTGGGCAGTCGGGGAGACGGGGGACAGTTTCTCACAGAGTGGGAAGGCAGGGCTGGCCACAGGGGAGTAGGGGAAATGCCATAGGAGTGGAAATGAGGAGGAAGCAGGCATGTGTTGCACAAGCAGATCAAAATGTACCCTCGGCTGCTGGGGGAAGCACTCAGCTCTGCGGTACAGGGTGCTTATGTCAACCTTGGGTGTGGGGACCTTCAAAGATGGGGTGCCAGTGTTGCTGCACTGTCAAGCTGTGACAACAAAAGTGGGGACCTCATCCCCAGGATCCTTGTGGCTGTGGAGGTGGAAGGGGGAGCACCTCAGATGCTCCTGTGGGTGCCTGGTTAGTTCCATCTGTCTCTCTGGGGTACTCATCTGCCATCCAGGCTGTGCCCCACAGAGAGTTGGGCAAGGTCTACACATGGGGTGGTGGCGGGCATGGGGATGTGAGCCTGGCTCTGCTCGAGGATACGCCCCAGGCACTCCCCACCCTAAGCCCTAAGGGCTAGAACAGCTGAGAGGGGGAGAGGGTCCCACCCAGATGGCATGGTGGGGCTTTAGCACACAACTCGGCACCACCTGCCCTCCCTGAGCCTCAGTTTCCCCAAAGCAAACAAGACTGGGACAGGCAGTATTGGCAGCTTTATTCTCCGTTAGCTGGAGGGTGGTCAGGTGGGGAGCTGGGGAGAGGGCTGGCAGACCCAATGGAGGCAAAGGGGGTATCCATGGGCCGCTGGTGGGCAAAGAATTCTGCAGCGAAGGAGATGGGGTCTTGGGGCTGCTGGAGCAGCAAGGCCTGAAGGAAGTCAGACAGCAGCGCCCGGACCTCAGGGTGCTGCTGGAGGTAGGCAGCATGGGATAGTTGCAGCTCCTCCTGCAGCAGGGTGGGTGTGGTGGGCATGGACACGCATATCCTCCCGGGCACTGTGCCAGGGTGAGGGGGACAGGGTGCCTGGGTCCTTTCCCACACATAAGAAGGTGTGAGGGAGGATGCTGGCCTGTCTGCCCCCCACAGTGTGCCCCTTGGGCACATCCAGGGAGACCCTGCTGGGGACTGGCACAGCCCCATGTCGCCTTGCTCCCATGTCCACCCATCTCACCTTCCTGTCCAGGAACCAGGAGCAGAGCTGGACGTCCTCCTCCCAGTTCAGGGGCTCTTTGGGGAAGGGGAGCTGGGGCTCAAACCCACCTGGCAGCAGAAAGGCAGGGCAGGGTGTTCCCCACTCAGCTGCTGGACAGTGGGCAGGGGCTGCCCGTGCTGAAGGGCACGAGCCTCCCTGCCCCAGTACCTGACTTGCTGAGGATGGACTCATCCTGCAGAAGCATCAGCGTTGGGGAGCCAACTTGCATCATCTGAACCAAACGCCTGCAGAGGGGAGAGCCCATGAACTCCCCATGCTGGGTCCCTGCCAGACTGGCAGGGCTGGGGGTGCCCCCAGTCAGACCTGTACCCTTACCCATTGGGGAGGAAGCTGCTCTGCCAGACGGTGGAGATGCCTGTGCTGGTGTGCATGGCTCGCTCCATCACAAACACCTCTGTCTCTGCAGAGCCCACTGCCTGACGCTGGATGCCCAGGGCAGACTGGGTGGGGCACAACCAGGGGTCACCCTTGTCTTAGAGTCCCCCCTGCCTTCAGGTGCCATCCCCATGCCTCCCCTTCCCATGCTGTCAACCACACTCTGCCCACTCCCACCTCCCACATCCCACCCTGGCACTCCCAACCTGAGCCAGACCCCCTCAATCCCACAGGCCCCCCGGCTGCGGCTCACGTAGCTGGAGGTGCAGAGGTGGCCCTCGGTGTCAATGGCTGGGAAGATGAGGCCGGGGGGCACTGTGTGCCGGCGTGCCAGCACCCGCAGCAGCAGGAGGCTGGCACCCTCCAGCAGCAGCCCCCGCAGCTCAGCCTGGCTGTAGGAGAAGCTCTGGCACTGTGGCTCTGCCTGTGGAGAGACCTTGCCACCTCATGGGAAAGCCACAGGCCCAGCGACCCCAGGGACAGCAATCCCCAGAGCTTGGGGCACCCCTGGTGAGACAGGCCAGCTGTGCTCCCCCCTCCCAAGATGTGACCCATCTGGGGGGCAGACGGGAGAGATCTCCCGCCTTCAACCTCACCTCTCCCTCTTGGAGGGTCTTCGTGACAGTCATCCCATGCTGGTGGCTCACCATGTGGGTACTCTTCTCTGTGGGGTATGGTCTGAACTGTGGGAGGGGTGGAGGGCACAGGATGGAGGGTAGAGCCAGGGCACCGCTTTTTCTGAGGTGGCACACCCCAGTACTGCTTTCAATCAGGGTACCCCATAAGAAGCATTGTGGGAAACTCCCTGCCCCAACTTCCACCCAGAGTAGGGAATGGGGACCAGGCTGGTGGGACAGAGCTGGAGTCCAAGCCTGGGAGGGGACACCAGACCTCCCAGAGTGGCCTTGCATGGGGCATATCCTCCCAGAGGGCACCACTGCAGGGCACACCCCAGGGCAGGGGGCAGGACATGGGGAAGGGGACATGCCACTGCCACCACCACATCAGTCACCTCCAAGCACTCCTGCTCCTCCTGCTCCAGGGTCTCCAGCTGTGGGGTCACAAAGGCTGGCAGAGCAAAGCCATGCTCAGCCAATCTTGCTGGCACTGTCCCATTCCTAGCCCTGGGGGCCAGTGAGACAGGGGTGCTCCAGCCCTGAGGTGGGGGGGACACCCAAAACCACCCCTGGCTCACCTTTGAGGGTGCTGCATCTAGGCACGCCATCCTGCCAGCCTCGGAACCTGGCTTGCACCAGGATGCAGTTCCGCACTGGCTCACCTTCCCGCTTGTAGGGTGCCCACTGGGCTGCCATCCACCACTGGCCCTCTGCCTTGTCCCTTGGCGGGTCCCCTGTGCCCACCACTGCCAGCGTCTCGGCGAACAGGCAGTGCTCCAGTTCCTTCAGCCCTGCACGGAGGGACGGTCATCCCTGCCCAGAGGGAGGGTCACCCCTTCCCGGAGGGACCATCACCCCTGCCCAGGGCCTCTCCCTGCCTCAGTTTACCCCCCCGCAGGCTGGGCCGAGCCCCTCCCCATTTATCCTGCTCAAGTCCCCACTATCCATCCCTCTTCTGCCGGACCCGGTGCCCCCCACCCCCCGCACCGACGACCCCCCCAGGGCACGGCGTGCGGGGGACAAAGGGGAGGCTGGAGGGGGCACCCACCGATGAGGCTCAGGAACTCGGCAGCCGTGTCCGTGAGGGCCGGGATCTCCTGCCCGCTCTCCATGCCTCACCTGGGAGCGCCTGCTGCCGGACCCTCAGGTGAGGCGGCGGCGTGGCTCCCCCGACCCGCGGTGCCTGCCCACGCGTGACCCCGGGGGGAGCAGTGCAGCCCCCGGCCCGTGTCCCCCCGGTCCGACCCCCGACACCCCCGACCCGCCGGACCGGCCCCGGGGCCCCCCCGACGCCTCACTGTCTCCAAGGCAACGGCTTGGCCCCACCTCTTAAAGGGGCCGCGCCCCCGAGGCGGGGTGTTCCGCGGAGGGACCCCACCAACGTGGAGAGAAAGGGACGAACAGGTATAAAATCGATCTAGTCTTTTATTTGGGGGTGTGTGTGTGTGTGTCCCGTACAGTAGCACCCCCCACCCCACACCAGTGTGAGCCCATGGCCCCAGCTGTGTGTGTGTGTGTGTGTGTGTGTGTGTGTGCAGGGGGGGCTCCAGCGTCAAGGATGGGGTGCTGGAGAGGAGCCCCTTGCTTGGAGGTAGTACTGCCCCCCACCTACCCTTGCAGACTCCATCACAGCCCCCTCCAAAGGAGATGCACAGCACTGGGGGCTGCCAGGGTAAGGGGAGGGAGCCGAGTGGTAGTGGTGGTGGGGAAATTGGAGACTCCCAGAAAAACAGGGAGGGGGGATAGGAAAAGCCCTTGGTGCCATCCCTATAGCCCTGGCAGGGGGGCTACAGACCCCCAGAAAGTGGATCGAGGTGCTTCTATGACAGCTGGTGACCCCCAAGTCTGGGGGAGCAAAGGCAGGGATCACTTACGGGGTGCCCATGTAAAGGGGTGTCCACTCTTCCCCCCCAGCCATGCACCCCAGGAGGGAGATTCACAGCAAAATGAAACACACAGAGTCTTGGGCCCCTTGTGCCCAAATATCACCCAGCCCCATGGAAAGGGGGGGCTCCTGGGAGGGAAGATCTAGGTGGCTTGATAGAGGTCCTTGCGCCTCCGCACCTCCTTGAGGACACGGGCGCGGAAGGCGTCAGGGTCCTCTCCCCCGTCCTGCCACAGTCCCAGTGCCTCCTGCAGCTCAGGCCGGTGTGTCCGTAGGAAGGGGTTGTAGGTCTGCTCTTCCCCCAGTGTGGAGGGGCACTGTGGGGCCAGCCATTCAGCTCCCCTGACAGAGGCAGCACCCCTGCCAGGGAGCTGGAACCCCTCCCAGAACCTCCTTCCCTTAAGGAACCCGCCATGAAAGAGGATGTTGGGGTGCAGCATCCCTGCCAAGGGATGGGGATCCCTGTGAGGGGCTGGGGTGGTGGGTGCTGCAGCCAAGGGACCCCCATGCCTCACCGTACTCCTCTTCTCCTGGCGCTGCTGCACTGCCCACTGCAGCTTCTGTTCCAGCGCAGAATTGTCCAGCTCCAGGAGGCTGGCGAAGGTCAGGCACTCCAGTGCATACTCGTGGCCTGTGGACCCCCATACGCAGCCCTCAGCATCACCCCCCCCACAGCTCCCCAGCTTGGCAGTGGGGACTAGGGTGCCACCAGTGACTATACCCCACTGTTGGGGACACTCACCCGGCCACAGCAGCGTGTCCTGACCCAAGCCCACAGCCATGTCCAGGGAGGCAAGCATGGTCTCAGGGGAGCCCTCGAACGGCCTGCCTGGACCCCCGCACAACTGCCTGTCATGGGGGGGCATTGGGAGGTACCCCCAAGCTCTTCCCAGGGTGGGATAAGCCCCCAACACCCAGGTTGGGTGCACTCACCGCAGCCAGCGAGGAAGAGGAGGTCCCCGGAGAAGAGGCAGGGGGGGCTGCCAAAGGGCTCCCCATCCAGCACGTACACCATGTGGCCCACAGTGTGGCCCGGTGTGGCGAGGGCCTCGAAGGTCAGGCAGCCCACACTCACCTTCTCCCTGTCTGCAAGTGGGCTGTGCCGGGCACAGAGGGCACTGTCAGTGTGCTCCCCCCACCCCCAGCACCTCAAAATATCCAACTCCCCAGGCAACCCTTCCCCACGCACTGGTGTCATGAACATGCCAGGTCTCTGCCCACGATGGGGGCAACATGGTACTTGGGGGATGGAGTGGTGGGTGAGTGCACAGACAGTGGTGGTTGAGAGTGAAGCTCCCCCCCCCCCCCCAACCGACAGGGGGGCCCGGGGGGCGGAGGACTTACTTGGTGAGCTGTGGGATGGCATCAAGAGCGCTGCCGTACACTTTGCAGGAATTGTGCTTCTGGCAGAGCGCCGCGTTCCCCCCGCTGTGGTCCCTGCAGACAGGGAGGTCAGCAGCCCTAAATGTGCCCCCCCTTCCATATCCCTCCCTAAATGGGGCAAGGCTGGGAGCCATCAGATGGGGCACCCTCCAAGGCAGCCACTGACTCATCCCCATGTCCCTCCTTGGCCCTTACCAGTGTTTGTGTGTGCAGAATATGGCCTCCAGCATCACCCCCTCTTCTTCAATGGCAGCCTGGGAATGGGGAGGAAACAGATTTGAGGGGGACACAGAACCCAAGTATCAGTATCTCCCTAAATTCAGTCCCCCCCCCAAGGCGTTGGATGAGGAATGACACACTCCAGCCTTGGGCACTAAGGGCTGCAGATTAGGGACAGATTTGCCCCTCTCTGTCCTCAAAGTACAGAGTTGTGCCACCCCCTCACCTGGAGACACCCTAAGACCAGATATGGGTGGTTTAGGGGGTCTCACCTGCACAGCCAGTGGATCAGAGGGGTCGACAACGGCCGCTCGGCTGGAGCCAGTGTCGATGACCAGGTAGCTGTAGTTGTTGGAGAGCACAGGAATGGGCAGGATTTTCACCCCTAACAGGGACAGACAGATAGACATCAGAGCATGACCCCCTGGGCTGGAAAAGCAGAGGTCCAGGCCAGACTCCAGCATCTTACATCAAATTCTTAGTTAAGTATGCTTTGGGCAATTTGGCAATGGCAACCCCTCCTCACCCCAGAGTGCCAGTGTTGGGGGACACTGTGAGGCCACGGTATAGGGGGGGCTCGCCAGGACTCACCGGGGAAGCAGCAGGGTTGGGGCACGGAATGGCCATGCGGGTACCGCTCTCGGGCCTTCTTCACCTGACGCTGGTAGAAGAGGTAGCCCAGGCGCGTGCGGGCGTATAGGCTGTACCTGGGGAGGGCAGACACCCCTTGGCGTTAACCCCCAAATCCCCTAAGGAGCCCTCGTGGGGAGGGGGCTGCTGCCTGGACTGGGACTCCCACAGGGGACACATACAGGGTCACTTTCCATGCATGGGGGCTGGAGGTGGCGTGTGTGTATCCCATACTCTGGATCTGCAGCGAGGGCAGGACTAATTTCCCAGCCAGGTCCCCTCCAGCTGCTCCAGGCAGCAAGGATGGGGGGGGAACACTTGCTGTGGGCTGTCCATCTGTCCATCCATCTGTCCAGGAGGGCTCTGCTCACCAGGAGGGGCTGGAGCCCCAGGGCAGATTAGCACTCTGGCTGTCCCTACCCCTGCTCTGGAGGGGCCATGCCCAAGCCTGCCCTGGGTGCCATGGTCCTGGGGATGAGGGAAGAGGGAATGGGCCAGGGAAAAGGGAAGAGAGAAATGCTCCCGTGCATGTGGAGGTACAACAGACAAAGGCTGGGGGCTCGGAGGGACCTCCCCATTTATAGAGCAGCGATTTAGAAAGGGACAGGGAATGGTGCCATGACGGACGTTTAAAGTCCTGAGTTGCAAAGCCCATTCCCAGCCAAGGGCACCCCTGGATGGTGAGATCCACCGGCGGGGACACCGGGAGGGAGTCCCCCGCTTTTTTCGCGGTGGGAACCCCAAGCCGGGGAACGGGGGCTTCTGCCAGCACCGGCAGCCCGGCCACGGCCGGGGCACCAGGATGGGTCAGCGATGACACCGGAGGGAAGGCTCTGCTCCCAGGGACAGTGAGAGATCCGGGGGTGACCGGCACCGTGGGGGGGAGCCGGCGGCTGTTCCCCGACCCCGCAACCGGGCTGACAGCGCCCGCCCTCGCCCCCCCGACGCGGGCAGGCTGAGCACGGGTAGGCGCCTGTAGCCCCGCCAGCTCCAGCCCCAGCCCGGCCTCCCCGCGCCAGCGGGGCCGCAGGTCCTCGGCGGGCGGCTCCGCACAGGCAGAGGAGGACGGGCCCTCCCTCCCGGCGGCAACACAAAGGCGGGCGGCGGTGGCCCCCTCCCGGCGGCGGGTGCCGAGCGGCAGATGCTCCACTCACTCACTCGTTCCCTCCCTCACTCACCCCAGGCGGAACAGCAGCGGGGCGGCGAAGGCCATGAGCGCGGCGGCGGCGCGGCGGGCGCGGCGGAGGAGGCGCAGGCAGGCGGCCCCGATCCCCCGCGCCCCGGCCGCCGCCGCCGCCCCGCCGGGCCCCGCGGCCATGCCGCTACCGGCGTCACGCGCCCACCGCGCCCCCTGCCGGCCCCGCCGCGGGAACCGGGACACACACACGGGACACACCGACCGCGTCACCGGCGACAGGAGGGGATTCCATCCCCCCCGCCGCCACCGAAAGGGGTGTCCCCCCGCTGACGTCACTGTGTGAGGAAAGGGGTCTTTGAGTGACGTCAGAGGCGGCGGCAAGGAGGTCCCGGGGGGGGGGCGGGCGAGGGCCAGCGGGGCCCGTCCCGGGGAGCAACAGGCGGGGGAGCGCGGGAGCGCATCCCGCTCCCGGTCACGGGGCGCAGGGCGCGGAGCCGCCGCAGGGGGGCGCGGCGGGAGGTGCCCGCCCCCGCCCCGTTCGCCCGCCCCGTCCCGGCTCGTCCCGGCTGGTCGCGGCTCAGCCCGGCGGAGCAGCGCGCAGCAGGTAGGGCAGCCCGCCTCGCCCCACCCCGCGCCCCCCGAGTCCCGCGTGGGCCCCTCGGCAGTTTCCCCCCCCCCGTTCTCCCGACTCCCCGCCGCCCGGTTTTCCCCCCAACCCCCCTGTCCCTGCGCCCCCCGGTGCCACGGCCGGCCAGGGGCTGTCCCACTGCTCTCCCGACCGTCCCGGAGGTCGGCGGGGACCGGGCGAGAGCGGGCGGCCGGTCACCAAACAGCCGGGACGCGCTGCAACCCCCCGCACCCCCGTCCTCGGAGTGGGTGGGGGCACGTCCCGTTGAGGTCCAGCGGCGGGGGGATCGGGGTCAGAGGGCGTTCCCGCGAGCAGGGACGGCCGCGAGACAGGACCGCCACGCGCGGGGTCCCACTGTGGCGTTGGTGCTGTTTTCCGGACCCCACGGGATCGCGTGGCAGGGAATCGGGGCGTGGCGTGGGGTGGT